TATTTACCTTGTAACTTCTAGGCTGCGTAACTATATTGATACATTATATCATAGACTTTAGAATTCTAAGGTCTATGATTATATAAACGAGTTTTGATTGTGAATAGAGTAGAGTTCTTAGTGAGCAGTCAAACCGTATACCTCGTGTTGCCTAACTTATTCATATAACCATGGAGGTAAAAGCCTGGGTTTTTAAAAGTCTGGATATAACCTACCCGCCACTATACAATCCACCTATACGAGCCACACACAAATCAAATCCTGTGTTTGTCGAAAAACGGGAATTGAATAGACAATAATTTCATTTTTTGTTGTCACTTTATATTCTTATACTTGGTGGTAGGTATAAAAACTCTACTTTGGTTGTCAGGTTGTTTTCGGGTTCGGTGAATGGGTCACCCCCCCCCCACGGATTAAGGTTATGGATTCAAATCCACCATTCAGGTGTCGGATTTTTGTTAACTAACACACCCCCTGGAAACTTTACTATTTTGACCAAAGACAATAGAAATGTCTTTGATTTGACGTATACGGATGGGTATGTGAAAAAATTAAATATATCAAAAATATGACACCTCTCGGAATTAAACCATCCATACTTTTTGTAGAAATATGACCTCTCGGATTTAAACTATCCGTAGGGGGGGGGGGGTGAACAAAAACTGGAATGACCCCATGGATCGTCATCTCTCGGGGAAATCAGTAACGCTGTGTTGTTTGAATTTGGGGTAAGTTGCTTGGCTTTGAGAGTAGCTTCTGGGCATGATCGCATAAGTGATATTTGAACTGCTCAACAATATTTACACAAGTCACTGCATGTCATTTTCATCATTTAGTATATAACACACACCCAGAGTTGCACGTTCCATGGCCTAATTGCCCATCAACGCAGAGTGGTGAGCCGTATTGAAAAGCCCCACCTCTCACTAACTCGTAAAGTTGTATTTTGGGATGTATCGTGTTACCGTGAGATCACTACGCTCTCTAGCGTAATCGTAAGAATTGGAGTGCGCCCGCAGCGACTGAGTTTGGCAGCAATCACTAACTGTGCTCATATAGCTAAAGGGAATACTTTCATATATTTTTAGGTTAAACTCTGGCTGATGACAACGGGATTCACAAGTGTTATAGGGCCAGTTATAAGATCTTTGTTCAGCAAATCGGATTACTAGATTCATACTGGCGGTGTTATAATTCACCTAGTTTCGATATAATGACTGAACAATGAAAATGTAAACTCTTTTAAAACTTGTTTAGGAAAAAATTGCACGATATCTCAAACTGAAGTAGAATCCTATTCATAATTTTTGAAATGTAGTCATACTAGTATGTCATGATAGCGACTTCACGTTCGCGCATGCGCAGTCGACTCACACGCCGTTACACCATTGTTTATAATCAACAAACAGCGTGTTTGGGGTGGAGACTATAAACATATATTTCGGGAATTTGATAAATAAATTGTTTATTTATTGTATTTAGTAGTTGCAACTTTGCAGCTTGCAACTTGACTTGAGTTTGTAACCTTTTGTGAGAAGGCGGAGGGAGATAAAAGAGATAAAAGTTTTAGAGAACTGTACAGCGAGGGGTTACAGCTCTCTGCTTCAGCTGACTGTTTGTAAGAATAAAGCTGGTCGAATCTGGTATCTTTACGTGTAAGCGTTATCAGCTAAGTGAGTCAAGTTCCCCGATCACAAAGTCAGTATTCACATAAATCGCATAAAAATGTTCATCGGTTTATTGTGTAGAACCGTCGACCTATTGACATTGTATTGTGTGTGACGTATTTTGAGAAAATTTTGTTCTAATGAATATTTTTCAAAAATTGCTATTTTTAGAACAATTCCATAAAACACAATGTTAAAGAAAGATTGCTCCCTTCGA